TAGAACAATTAGTCAACAACAAAAGTCTGGTGCTTTCTACCAAAATTATAGTCATATGAACGAGAAAAAATAAAACTAGACCAATGACCAAATTAGAGCCACTAGATCATTGCATGATGAGAATAAATTTTTAAGGAATACAAGTGCCAAAGGCAGCAAAGTTTTAGATCCATAAATGTTACAAGAGAATAATTTTGCTAAAGCAACATCTTTAGGAATCCTATGTAGTCAATCAATATTAAATACTTTAAGAAAGATCCCCAACGCAAAAAATCCTTCTTCTCTACTATCTTGAAGCAACAATGTGACTACTTTTTTCCACTTTGCTCAATCTACGGCTAATTACTCCATCAATTCACCCTCAGAGAGTAAAAGGCCAGAGGAATGTTGAGTCACACTTCTAATAGGAGTCGATTTATCAACTAATTGACTGTTTATATGTCAGCCATGTCATTGGCAGTTAACAAAAGTACAACAAAAATAAAAAAAACAATAAAATCCTAATTCCTATGTAACTGAAAGACAAGTGACGAGATTTTATAGCTACTGTTTCTTCTCACTGGACACACCATTCTCAACTCTGCCATCAACAGCTTGATAAGGAACTTCAATCATTGGTCTTGGGACAGGACGTTCACCAAAGTCATCTGGGAACTGTTCAAAATCGGGACCAAAATTGAACTTGACAACACAATTGGGCTGGTTCGGAAGTGTATACATTGAAGCTGCAGGATAGTAACGACCACCATAAAGATCCTTGAAAGCAACACCTTGGCATATACCGTTTTTGAAAAAAGACATCTCACTTCCTGCACAGCAGAAGCAATAGTTTACATAGAACTCAGCAAAACGGCTTCTTAACACAAACTATATAGCTGAGAATGGAGCTTCTAAGAAAGTGGACCACTAACATTTATCAAAAGAAAATTGTAACAAATAACATTATGCTAATATTAAAACCAGAAGAAATGAAAAAATATCTTGTTACTTTGTTAGAAGTTTCAGTTGATACCGAATATCATCAATAGTATCAAAAATATCGTATCACTTAAAAAATAGAACTTTCAAAGGGCTGCTAGAGTTTTCAGTTGTTCAATGTTCAAAGACTTAAAAAAGACGCTAAGGCAATATAGAAAGAACATGGCAAATACAATTCAATGTTCCGATGCCACATAGCAAAGAAAAATCTGAACAGGGAGAAAAGGAGAATGACACGAGATAAATATAACCAAAGAGAGCAGTAATATAGATGAACAAGAAGAAAAAGCAGCAAGAGCAGAATGAGCTCATTCACTAAAAAATATTCTACAACAGAATGTCATCGCCGGGTGGCCTCCCATCTGCCATGCAGTCGTGAATTGCTACAATGAGAAATGCTAAATAGCTACAAGCAAATTTCTTGAACAACTCAATGGTCCACAAACAATACTAACTAGAACGAATCATACTTGCAAATTCAAAGATACATCTAACAGGAAAACATCAGTCAATGACTATTGGTTAAGTTCATTATATAACTCGTACAAAAGCATAATCCAGTATAAAGCACATCTGCAATACCAGTTAACCATAAGTAAAAGCAACATTCTTCTATTAATGATCATCAACACAAGAAGCAAATACAAAAGAACATAAATAGGCAATAAACAACCTTCATTGCCGAAATTAATGCTTCACTCACCTGGCACAACTTTTGGGGGATCCTCCTTGGGATTGGGAGCACAAACATACCGCTGGCCCTTGTACAAAACCATGCGTGGAGGATCAGGTGCATAGGACCCTCCGTCTGGCAAACTAATATAAAAACCGATAACATCACCTTCTTTATATCCTTCCTCCCCATACTTCTCCCTCAATGCCTTGTGCACTTTACTCCCATCAATATCCCTATATCCAAAGCTATTCCCATCATACCCCACAGGAGCCTGCAAGTCCCCTTTATCTGTGGACCACCCCAACCTTGTATGCCCTGTCTCACCCAGATGCACCACCTTAATCTCGAAATACCATGCGCCCTCTTCAACCCCCCTTGTCGCCCTAACCATTCTGTAACCTTTCGTGCTGCCCGCACTCAATCTATCCTCACTTAATTCCACCTTTTCAGCCTTATAAACCTTCGACAGGCAAATCTTCAAATCCGGGCAATCATCACTTTTGTCAGGGAACCTCGGGATAGGGGTTATCAAAACCTTATCTTCAGTTGCCGTGTTGGTACCCGTGGCATTTTTGGAATTGTGGTTTCCATTGGAGGCGTTTTTGGCCTTTTTCTTCCCCTTCCTTGTGGTCGTCGTCCACACATCCTTGCTCTTCTTCTTCAACTTCTTGCTCGACTTCGAAGCTGTCGCCTTTCCATTTTGAGCGGGGGGTGTAGTTTCTTCCACGGCGGAGGGTATTTCGGCAATATCATTATCTAGGCGTTCAGGTTTGGGCAAATCCGATAGCTGTTTTTGCTTCTTAGGTGGGGCATCTTCTTCCTCTTCCTCCTCCTCCTCCTCTTCTTCTTCCGAATCAGGGTGCGAAATTGGGGAATGCTGGGATCCGTTTTGGTCGGATTCCGGAGCAATTGGAGTTCCGTGGTTGGAGATTTCGTCGGAGGAAATTTCTTCGGACGCGAGAGTTTCTGGTTCTTCTTTGATGCTGTTCACGGGCTCGGATATGGTGTCCGATGTTGTGGTGGCGGTGCCGGGGAGGACGGCCTCATCAACCGTTGCAGTGGAGGTCTTCGGAAGCGGCAGCGTAGTGACATCATTCATATTTTCGTCGCCGTCTACGGAGGTGGCCGGGAAGGTATCCATACTGAGGAAGTTGGGACGATTAGTGGTGTTTGCGTTTGGATACGAAGAAAAGTTTTGCTCATAAGAGACCAAAAAGTGTCCGTGGGCTTGGACTCCTAGCCCTTAGGCCCATCCAAAAGATTAAAGCCCAAATAATGTTTGAGATCCAGTTTTTGACTCACAAAAGTTTCGAGCGGAAATTAAGGCAGGTTTTTTAAGAGTGGAAATTACACCCACCCAT